CACCATGTACCCAGAACCGGAGCCTTTCAAAGTAGTCATGTGTGTTGGTCCGCACATGTGCCCTTGCATTGCCTTGTGGTTTCGCCCGAGGTGATAAAGGGCAGGATGGACCGACAATGTCTTCAGTTCCTTCTCACCAACACATAATCTGAGTGGGAGCTTCTGCTTTTCTCTTGTCCTTGGTGACTTAGATGCCGACTCCGTGTGTGCTCCAGTGCCAGAGCACCGACGGGGGGAAAAAAAATATTGGGTGCTTAGCACCCACTGGCACCCAGCTCCTCCCCAGTGCCTCCCACCCACCAATGGCCCTGTCGAACAACTTCTCCCCCTCCCTCCCAGGACTCCTGCCCTCTGTGTTCAGCTGTTCCATGGCGTGCAGGAGGCACTGGGAAGAAGGGAAGGGGGCAGAGGTGGGGCCGGAAGTGGAGCGGGGGCAGAGGTGGGGGATTGGGGGAAGGGGTGGAGTGGGGGCGGGGCCTGGGGCGGAGTGGGGGTCAAGCACTCTTCTCCCCCCCCACCACTTATGCTTGGTGACACACTTTCGAAACTTTCCAGAAAAACAGTTTCTATTCTTGTACATAGTTAGGATTTTACTCATTTTTGTAGTAGCTTTAGTGTTCATAGTAACTTTTGTAGGATTAAAGACTTTGGGACGCCGCTTTGGTGGTTTCCTGCCAACCCCCTGCCACCTGTGCAGGGTACTGGGTAATACTGAAGATGCCGGAATTCAAAGTCTGTGCTTCCTGCCTTCGCTCGTTTTCACTGAGCGACAAGCACCAATGGTGGCTGTACTGCTCGGGAGAAGCGCATGTCGGATCCAGGTGCAATATCTGCCTCCTTCCCTTCCCGTACCCAAGAAGGCTGGGCCCTATACCTTAAGAAGCACCTCATGGAGGTCGCTATGGGGGTGCAGTCAGCTCCTGGCTCCAATATTTGCCGTCAGAACTGTCTTGCTCAGCCCTAGAGGAATCCCCTGTCTCATCACCCCATCCTTCGTCAAGGAGACATTTGAAGCGATGTGCCAGTCAGCCCAGCTCCGACGGTACCGACAGATCCAAAGCGGTTCCCCTCATTGTCCCTGGATGCGACTATGTCATTGATGTCCTCCTCTGACCTGAATGACTACCATCAATTTCAGGAGCTGGTCAGGAAAATAGCTAATGCTCTTCATATCCCGTTGGAGGAGGTGCAGGACAGTCAGCTCCAACTACTAAACATCTTGCATGCATCGGTATCCTCTGGAGTGGTCCTACTGATCAACAATGCCATTCTCCAACTGGTATGCACCATGTGGCATACTGTGGACACATGCGCCCCACCCCAAAGGGGGCAGAAAAGAGGTACTGTGTCCCCCCCAAGGGGTCTGAGTTTCTGTTCTACCCTCCTCTGCCTAATTCCCTGGTGATCCAGGCTGATGAGGAGTGGTCCAGACAACAGCACACATGCACCACCCTCTCTGACAAAGAGGGCAAGAGGTTTGACGTTATGGGTAGAAAGGTCTTTTCTTCGGCCAGCCTCCAGTTCTGTATCTCGAACTACCTAGCGCTGATGGCCAAATGTGACTTCTTGAACTATAGGTAGAAAGTGGATTTTGCAGATAAGCTAACTCAGCAGGACTGTGCTCGCTTCCAAGCTATTTTGGAGGAGGGCAAGGTTGTCTCCAGGACCATACTTCAGGCTGCAGTTGATTCCGCGGACATGTCCTCGCACAAAGTGACGACTGCAATAGGCATGAGGAGGGAATCCTGGTTACGTTCCTCAGGCTTCCCTTGAGAGGTATAGAGCACAATTGAGGATGAATCACCCTCTTCAACCAGAAGACTGATGATTCTTTATGCTCACTGAAAGACTCTAGACCCACCCTTCAATCCCAAGGCAAATATACACCAGCGCTGAAATGAAAATATGTATGCCATCGCCTACACAATGCTATTGAACTCCCCAATTCTACCACTAGCGAGCCTACGAACCTCCACAGAAGTGCCTGAAGGTCCACAGGTCTTGCCTGCCTGGTCTGCCAACGGTCAGCCCTCCACGCAGCACACTTAGTCTTTGCATAAGCGATATTTGTGAGTGAATCTAGAGAGCCATCAACCACTTTGCACCCCAATGCTCTTGCCAACCCACCACCCCCTTTGGTGCATTCAATACTGTTCAAGGGGAAGGGTCAGTGCCCATTCAGAAGGCGACACCCTGGTTGTCGACTGGTTGAACCAGATCAACGATGCCTTTCCTTCCCTACCACTCTTGCAATGCATCTTTCACAAACTCCAACAGGAGAGGGCAATGGTCATCCTGATTGCTCCATTCTGGCCTCACCAGTTCTGGTTTCCTCTGCTTCTCCGCATGTCGAAACATCCTCCACTCCTACTCCCAGCGTTTCCGGAACTGCTCTCACAACACAATGGCAGACTCAGCTACCTCAATCCACAGATGCTTCACCTGACAGCCTGGTTTTTTGGATGGACACCTCTGCTAGCATGAGAATGTTTGTCGGCAGTATGACATGTCTTCTCCAGTAGAAGGAAGGGTTCCATGAGATGAGCTTACTGAGCTAAATGGACGCGTTTCACTTCCTGGGCCCAACAGAAAGCTGTTGGCATGCTGATGCTCTTGGACTGTTTCCTCTCTTTGAAGGCCTTGGGGCTTGCTCTCAACTCCTGCTTCCTTTCTCTCCTTTCCATGAAGGTTGCTTTTCTGGTGGCTGTCACCTCTGTAAGGAGGGTTCGCAAACTTGGAGTCATGATGGTAAACCCCCCTTTAACCATGTTTCATAAGGATAGAGTTTCACTGTGCTTGCATCCCAAATTTCTACCAAAAGTGGTTTCCCGCTTCCACCTCAACCAACCCATACGTTTGCCAACCTAAATCACATGTCTCAAATGAGGAACGGCGGCTTCATTCTCTCAATGTCCATAGGACCCTGGCCTTTTACCTATAGAGGACGAAGCCCTTCCAGAAATCTAGACTATTCATTGCCATAGCGGAGAGAATTAAAGGGCAGGCCATCTCCACCTAGAGAATCTCAAAGTGGGTCTTAGGGCGCATTACACTGTGCAATCAACTACCAGGATGGTCCCCACCAGATGGGATACAGGCCCATTCCATGAGAGCGCAGGCAACAGCTACTGCCGTGCTCCACGACAAACACATATAAGGCAGCCATGTGGAGTCCAGTACACACCTTTTCTTCTCATTATGCTCTAATGCAGAGGTCCCCAAAGTGTGAGGCGCACCCCCCCTTGTGGGGCGTGGAGGGCTGTCTGGGGGGGGGATGTGGCAGGGCCTGGACCAGCCCCCGCGGTGGTGGGGTGGGAGTGCCACCCAGCCCCTCCCCACCCCCAGCTCTGGTCTGGCCCCCAGCCGTGTCCCCGGCCCCGCGCGTGCCTGGCCCCTCTCTATCCTTGTCTACTGGCTGGGGCTCCGTTCCCAGCCTGAGGCTGGGGGCAAGGCCAGGAGTGGAGCCTCACCTTGCTGTGGGCCCAGGTGCTGGCCCCCACCACAGCCCGGCAGCGGCGCCGCTCCCACCCCTGTCTCCAGCCCCAGACTCACCCGCAGCTGCGACCCCAGCCTCAGCCCTCTTACCCTGTTTGCATCGCCCTGTGAGATGCAGCCCCACTCCCTGCCCCAACTTGGGGCGGGGGGGCAGAATAAGGGAGTTACAACCCTCAAAACTTTGGTGACTGCTGCTCTAGTGCATGATTCTCATTTGGTGCAGTAGTCCTCCGTTCCATGGTTCTGTCATCTTCCCACACTCTCCTCCTAGTTAAGTACTGCTTGTTAATAATCCTCAGTGGAATACAATAGGGATCATCACTTGGAGAAGAAGGGATGGTTACTTACCGTAACTGGAGGTTCTTCGAGATGTGTGGTCCCTATCTGTATTCCAATCCCATCCTCTTTCCCATCTGCTGTGGATCTGGTAGATCTGCAGTGAAGGAACTGAAGATGCGGTTGGTCTGCCTTGCCCTATATCTGCTTGGCCAAAACCACGAGGCAATGCAAGGGCACAGACATGGACCAATGGATGCTACTACTTTGAAAAGGTCTGGGTGCATGGCGCATGCGCATAACCCTCAGTGGAATACAGATAGGGACCACTCATCTCGAAGAACCTCCGGTTACAGGTAAGTAATTGCCCCTTTTTCACTCTCAAGTTTAGATGTATAGTCTGAAGGCCACGGTTGTTTGGGGGAGGAGGTAAGGTGTCTAAAATGGTTTGGCTCAGTTTCTCTTGCCTAAAAATGAAATTGGTCTAGAACATGGACTTCAATACAAGCCCGTGGGACACACCCACCAAATGTGGTCATGTATTCACACTATAGATGTAGGTGGTAGATATACTATGCACACAGATAGTGGATATTGTGAAGGAATGGGGAAGGATGAGTCAGGTTTTATACAGCTAATTTGATCACATTACAGGCATCCAAGGAAAATGCTGTAATATCTGCCAATTAATTAAAGCATTAATATAAGGAGCAGCAGCTCTGTGATGTTTACATAGTGCTCTTACAATGGGAGCTCAGACAGGAGGCTCCAGAAGGCTGTTTAGAAGATCACTACATTTGCATAAGAATTAAGGAGCTTCATAACCCCTTCTTCTCTCTGCGGTGCTCATTTTTTAGGAGCAGCCCCCACCTTCTCACCAATCTTCTGAAATGAGTAATGAGCCATTTCTACGGCTTCCTCCCTGAGAGACTGAGCTTGGACAGCTACTTAGAGGGGAAATTAAATGCAACCTAATGAATGAAACTAATGAGCAAATTGGCTATGTGAGGACTTAGTATGTAGTATGCTGTTGGAGTTTGCGAGCATGTTGTCTCAGGCTCGAATCATACTGCCAGTCACCAAAGGGATGGTCATCCTGGCTGTACACCAAGGTCCCACAGAGCTTACTCCCCTCTTACAAGAATTTGTTTTTAGCACAAGTGGCTTTTAGTTCTGTGGTCTGGCCATTGGAAAGCTAAGTCTCTAATTATGTTCTCTTTTTCTTACAGAGCTTTCGGAAATTGAACCCAATGTCTTTCTCCGACCCTTCCTGGAAGTAATCCGTTCTGAAGACACTACAGGTCCCATCACTGGGTTGGCCCTGACATCTGTGAACAAGTTCCTCTCATACGCATTAATAGGTATGGGGCTTGGATCACTGGCATTTCCCAAAATGCCAGCCAAGTGTATGCTCTGGAAATCCCATGCATAATGGGGTAATACATATTTGCAGCCTTCTCAGGGTTGAAGTCTGCCTGGGCTGATGGTATGGGGATGACAGAGTCTTTAGTAATACTTAGGAAATAATGGGGAAGTGTTTTTTCTGTAAACTTGGTTCATATGATGCTGACTAGTGCCATTCACAGCTTTAGGAAACTGTGAAAAAGACTTCTAGTCTTTTCTAACCATTGCAGGCATTTCAGGGCATTTGGAATATTTATTTTAAGCACCTAGAAGTGTGTTAAGTATGTCACAGAAATATATAAATAAGCAATCCATGCACTGGAGTGTTTGCCATGTGCTTTCAGACACAGTATAACAAGGTGGGAAGGGAGAGTGGAGAATGAGGGCAAGGGTTACAATAATACGTTCACACACACAATAAACTCAGCAGGGTTACTTGGGGGAGGTATTCCCAGATCTTGACGGTTCTGTGATAGGTGGATTTTTTTTATAGTCCAGTCCCTGTCCAGTGGCCTACATTGTCTCTGTCAGCTCCTGAAAAACTCACTTCTCACAGTTGACATGGCAGTAGTTTTGCTATTACTTCTTTGTCTGTATAAAGAGAGAGTATTTCTTGGGAGCAGTGGGGGGAAAATCAACTTGTGGCACTAATATTTTTAAATTAGCCATATGGGAGATTAGGGTTCAGTGGAAACTTGAAACTCTTCTTGTGCTTACTAGACTCTAGGAACATCACTAGATTAGGGGTGGAGGGTGGTGCATGTTGCGTTGTTCTGTAGCACCCCCTCGTGGCTGTATGCACTGAGTTGTGTTCAGCAATCACCGCAGAACATGCTATGTGCCACTGCTTGTGTTGAGGTGGCAGAGAGCTAGTGGGAACAAAGAAGCCAGGCATTGCATCTGAAGGATGGACAAAAGTTAAGGTCGTCTCCCACATCTTGTGTTTACAGGGTGGAGTGGTTGTGGAGTTGGAATCTAGTGACAAATGGCAGGTCCTGCTTACTTAGGTTTCAGGTACTTGTTACCAGAAAGCTTTGTATTGTAGATGAATCTAATCATCACTTCAGCATAAGAAACCCAGTCCCCAAGTTAAGAAAAAAAATGCTAAGAAACTGGGATCTTTGTGACCTATTAAAATGGGCATCTCAGTCTGTTTCTTCTGGTTGGTACCTTGGTTTCTCTGCAGTGGTGTGTGTAATAGTAAAATTAAATGCTTAACTGGTGGGATATCACCAAACTTTTAATGTAATTTTAATATAATGTACTGTGACAATAAATGCATTAGCAACAAATAAACCATTCCTAGCACATGCACCTTTGAAAATGTAAGCAACAGTGCAGCTCTGTTGTATCCTGGTAGAAAGAGGACATGACAGTTTCTAAGTGGAATGAGTACACAATGACTTCCTGTGTGCGTGCTTGTGAACTGGGAAGTAGGACGAAAATGTCAGATACACTTTTAGCTTTGTGTTTTAAAAGGTAGGGTCACCTATACAGTAGACACACTGCGTTTCAGTCAGCAGGGTAACTGCATAAATGGCTAAAGACAGTTGGTTTAGGATTTCAATTGTTTATTTTAACAAAGCTAGACAGAAAATGATTGAGAGTTTGACAACATTCTTTAACTTCCTAATTAGCTACAGGTCACACCAGAGCTCCCCAGCAAGAGGCTATCTCTAAAGTGTGTGGGGTGTGTGATTTTTGCAGGCAATGGCAGAATCCTTTGGTTTTTGTTTTGGAACAGCACCTGTAATCCAAGTTCTCAGTGATTGCTTTAGGTGATGTTTGCAGGGGCCTTGCCTTTTGTGCTTCTCCAGACACCAGTGAGGCTGGGATTAACGGTGCTGATTGAATGTCTGGCTGGGGCTGCATTGTTATATTAAAGCCCTGTCATTCTTACCTTCCCTTTTGTGATATTAACTTACTTCACTCCAGCACAGGAACTATCAAAGTGCTATATAAAGATACACAAAGTGTAAAATTCTTCTTAACAAGCAAGCTTTTCCCAGATTATAAACAGGGAATAAGAGTGGGGAAATGTAGTGTGGCTGATGTTTGCTGTGCTTTCTAACTCTGGGTAATTGAATGACCAAACCAGAACCCTTTCCAAAATTGGCATTCATTAGATCTGTGTGGGAGCAGGTGGCCTGTGCTCTGCACTTGGGGTTTAAGACCAGCGCGCAGTGGAAGGACTGGTATATTTAACACAACACGTTTGAGGAGGTGTCTTGAGATGCAATATGTTTATAAACAGCTCCCTCTTCCTACTCCTAAAGGCATTTTGTGGACAACACACATTTCTCATTCTCTCCGATGGAGTCTCTGCCAGCTAGTCAGGTGGTTGGTTGTCTAACCAGTATTGAGAGAGAGTGGTTGAAACCTCTTAAATCAGAAAACATCCTCTTCAGAGTAACACAGTTCTTGAGCGCACTTTTTGACATCTGATCTCCAACTGGCAAAGGTCTGTTATGAGTTGGTATTAATGCAGCCATTTATTAATGGTGTAGCGTGCAGCCTGTAAGTCTGCTGTCCAGTCAGAACATAAGAACGACCATACTGGGTCAGACCAAAGGTCTATCTAGCCCAGTATCCTATCTCCCGACAGTGGCCAATGCAAGGTGCCCCAGAGGGAATGAACAGAACAGGTAATCATGGTTTAAAAAAAAAAAAAACAGGTAAAACAATTAAGTATCCATCATGCGTGTAGTTTGGTAGAAATACATTACAGAATGTTGTCACAGGTTGTCTTCTGCTCTGAAATAAACACTTCATCTTTGCTTCGACACTTACATTCTGTATATAACATGGCAATTTTTTGCAGCAACAGGAAACCTTGTGACAATATTAATGTCAGTTGAATTCATCTCCATTGTTTCCCAGTGCATTTGCTTTTGGATTAGTTATTTTTTGAGCTTTGCTATTTCTACAGGACGACTAGCAACCAATTTCTTTGATAGACGCTGTAGAGAACATAAGAGCGGTCATACTGGGTCAGACCAATGGTGCATCTAGCCTACAGTGGCCAGTGCCAGATGCTTCAGAGGGAACAGAACAAGGCAATTATCGAGTGATCCAGAGCATGGGGTTGTGTCCTTGACCATCTTGACTAATAGCCATTTATGGACCTATCATCCATGAATTTGTTGTTCTTTTTTGAACCCAGTTATACTTTTGGCCTTCACAACATACCCTGGCAACGAGTTCCACAGATTGACTGTGTGTTGTATGAAGAAGTACTTCCTTTTGTTTATTTTAAACCTGCTGCTTATTAATTTCATCAGGTGAGCCCTGGTTCTTGTGTTATGAGATGGGTAAATAACACTTCCCTATTCACTTTCTTCACACCGTAGATGGTTTTATAGATCTCATATCTTCCCTTTGTCATCTCTTTTCTAAGAGTCTTTTAATCTCTCCTTATACGGAAGTTGTTCCATACCCCTAAATATTTTTGATGCCCTTCTCTGAAACTTTTACAGTTGTTATATATCTTTTCTGAGATGGGGCGACCAAAACTGCACACACGGTATTCAAGGTGTGGGCATACCATGAATTTCTATAGTGGCATTATGAGATTTTCTCTTTTATTATCTATCCCTTTCCTAATGGGTCCTTACATTCTGTTAGCTTTTTTCAGTGTCTCTGCACATTGAACAGATGTTTTCAGAGAACTATTCACAATGACTCCAAGATCTTTCTTGAGTGGTAACAGCAAATTTAGACCCCAATCTTCTTGTATGTATAGTTGGGATTATGTTTTTCAAAGTGCATTACTTTGCGCTTATCAATATTGAATTTCATTTGCCATTTTGTTACCCCGTCACCCAGTTTAATGAGATCCGTTACTTTGAACTTAACTATCTTGAGTAATTTTGTATTGTTGGCAAATTTTTGCCATCGCACTGTTTATTCCTATTTCCATATCATATGGAATATGTTAAACAGTACTGGTCCCAGTACTGATCCTTGGGGGAACCTGCTGTTTACCTCTCTTCACTGTAAAAACTGACCATTTATTCTTCGTCCATTACACATTAGGTGTGCGCGCGTCGCGTGCACGGACGTCGGAAACTTTTTCCCTCAGCGGCTCCCATCGGGCCCGCAGGAGCCCCCTCCTCCCGCCAGAGCGGCGCCCCGCTCTAGCGTATATATATCCCTGCGGGCCCGACCCTCCCTCAGTTCCTTCTTACCGTCCGTGACGGCGTTGGAACAATTCTGTCTCTCGCTTGAGAGTGTCCCTTAGCGTTAATAGTTAGTGGTGTTCTTAGCAGTATCAGTTCTTTAGTACTTAGTGTTAATCTTAGTAGTTAACAGTTCTTTAGTAGTAGTTAAGCTCCTTTGTGTTAGCTGTTTGGTCGATCCCAACACCAGCCCTGGGCGGCGGGGCATGCCGCATGCCCAAGGCTTCAAGGCTTGTGCCACGTGCCGCAAGCCTATGCCGATAAGCTATCCCCACGACTCGTGCCTCCGTTGCCTGGGGGAAGCGCACCAAAAAGAGCACTGCAAGATCTGTAAGGCCTTCAAGCCCAGAACTAAGAAAGAGAGGGACTTTCGCCTTAAGCAGCTACTCATGGAGGCTGCATTACAGCCCTCCACTTCGAATCAGGCCGCGGCACCGTCAACTTCGGTGCGGAGTGCCCCGGCATCGGTTCGTGATCCAGCACCGGCGGGACACCATAAGCCGACGGCACCGGCACAGCAAGACCGCCCCTGGCACCGGTCATCTTTGCCGGCAAAATCGAAGGGCCAACCCAAGGCCCGAGGACGCTCCCCGCATAAGAGGGCAGCGCCCGCGAAGACCTAGACTGCGCCTAAGGGAGTGGCGACCCCAGAACAGATCCCGGTGCCAGTGGCTCCGGCGCCGAGAGGCCCGTCGAGCCCCGGGATAGGCGCATCGAGTGAGGAAGAAGGGCTGGAGGAGCTTTTGGAACAGCCCTCCACCCTGGACACGTTTGAGGCA